TTAGAGGGTATCACTTAGGTCCCCGGTAGGATGTGAGTCCCTCATAACCACGATAGACCGGCTATCGTGGTATGCGTAATGCATTTTCCGCCTCCCTACGTATAGGGTAGCCCTTTATTTGCTTCGGGCGCAAAAAAAAAATCTACGGCGATCGTTCTCCTGTTCTCTAACCTTCATGCTTGCAACCATAGTTCTTACTGTTCTGTTGTTATCAGAAAGATTTTGCTGCTCATTTGCTGTTTAGTTTCCCTCTGTCGTATTTGTACAGTAAATATTTTTAGAAACTAAAATAAGTTGTAAAAACATGATAGTTGACAAAGTGACAGAAAAAAATGAGTGGATTAAATTTCAAGTTTTTTTTAGGCGATTTATTTTTAATTATCAATCTAGAAAGTCACGGTTTTGTTAAATTTATAAGCGAAATTTTTGGGACTTAACAAGTTCCAATAGTTAAGCTAAAAATTTATAAAACCTGATTGCGTAAAAAATCTACAAAAGGACAAAAAATCAAATATTATACCCTAAGTTATTTTTAAAACTAAGACGAATCTAACGAAAGCTTTAAATACATACATTAAAGTAGTTGCACGAGATGTGGACACCACCGCCTTGACACGCGCAATAGACGATTTAATTTAGTCCGTTAAACTTAAATCATTTATTTGATATTAACGTGACATTCACCTGCAGTATATTGGCTGCAAAATGTACACATGCGTAAATACTGACACTTGGTGCGCAATACTCGCGCCGCTATCATCTCTACTTGCTTTTGAAAAATGTTAAAGGCCTTTTTGCGAAGACGGGTACAAAGAAATATTTTATTAGCAAATACTCTAATATGTATACTGCTAGACGGAAAATATATAACAAAAACTAAGTCATGGCTGTTGATCGATTGCGGGTGGATAGCTGGCACAGTAAATGTGCCACGTAATTGAATTTTTATTTACGACAGTTATTGTTTTTACGTAAATACGAAAATAAAGCTGCAATACATTAATCTGAAATAAACTTTAAATCATGTTGACAATCATCACCATCATCATTCATTTACAGCCCTTCACAAGTCCACTGCTGAACATAGGCCTCCCACAAGGTATGCCAGAAAGCACAGTCCTGAGCCACCTGCATCCATCGACTTCCTGCATGTCTTAACCAGGTCGTCACTCCATCTAGTGGGGGGTCGCTCTACACTACGCCTACCGGTACGAAGCTGCCACTCGAGGACGTTGACAACGTGCGCATGACAATAAATAATGACAGCATTTTTTAGTTAAACAACATCAGTGTTGCATTGTCAATCAATTTTTTACAAATAATTTCTCAATCATTCATCAATTCTTTACAAACAATGTTTTACTTTACTTTACTTTACTTATCTTCACGCACAATCCCTAACGGGGTAGCCAGAGAGAACAGATCGCCAAGTGTCACGATCCTTACATACCTCTTTCGCTTCTTTCAGGTTCATTAACTTGTTCATACATGCACGTCTAGGTATCCGAGTACTCTTGACCCTCCCCTCTTCGAGCAATTTGCTCACATGGTCTTCGAAAGTTAGTCTCGGTCTACCTCGACACCTTTTAATATTTACTTTCGCTCTATATATTTTCTTCACCATTCGGTCTTCACTCATTCGTTCAACGTGCCCAAACCATTGGAGTACGCCCCTATCAATTTTTGTGATAAGGTCATCTTTCAATCCTGCCATATTGCGAATCTCTTCGTTTCGCTTTCGGTCGGCTATGGTAACGCCACACATTTTACGAAGAGATCGCATCTCCACTGCATTTTTATGCTTCTTCTGGCATACCCAGGTTTCGCTGCCATATAACAAAGTCGGTACCAACACTGCGTTATGTATTGCAAGGCGTGCACTCTTCACCACGCCTTGCCTTTTCACTAATGCATGCACCATTGACTTTGTTTCCGGCAGCGACACGCCTATCCACATCTAAATCACATCTTTCATCCCGGCTGAAAGCACTCCCCCAAGTATACAATTTCATTTACCTGTTCTAGACATTCCTGATTTACCCATATTTCACATTTCGTTCTCTCTTCGTCCTTTTCAAATACCAGAACCTTAGTTTTATTAGCATTCAAACGGATACCTTTAATTTCACATTCCTCTTTCACACACGTGACTAATGCCTGCAGTTATGCTTCTGATGGTGCAATAAGCACTGCATCATCAGCATACAGCAGACAATTAACTTTTATATCACCCAATTTCACACCCAAACAGCTATTTTTCAGCTTCTGTAAACAGCTGTCGAGATACAGTATGAACAGCCAGGAAGACATGACACAACCCTGTTTTACGCCCGCTTGGACGTGAGTGACAGGTCATGCCCTACCCGCACACAGGCTTTACAGTCATAGTAAAGTGACTGCACAGCCCTTAACAATCGACCATCCACACCATATCCCGGCAACAGTTCCCACATTTTCTTCCTTATAACCTTATCAAATGCTTTCTCCAGATCCACAAAAGCACAGAAAATCCTCTGGTTAACACTCAGAAGCTTCTCCGTGATCATGCGGAGAGAAAACATTTGATCCGTGCATCCTCTTCCAGGTCTAAATCCGCATTGTGCCTCCCATAAGAATCTTTCCGATTTCTCTTGCATCCTACGTGTCAAAACCTTCGAGTAAACTTTACTTGCTAAACTGGTCAAGCTGATCGCCCGATAGCAACCGCAGTCAAAATGTGAACCTTTACCTTTATATAAAGGCACAATGACCGCGGATCGCCAATCATCCGGGACATCTCCCGTCCGCCAGCACAAATTGCACAGCAGATGGAAGCTGTCCCAGACGCGAGGCCCACCGTACTTGACCATTTCAGCAGTAACTCGGTCTAGTCCCGCAGCCTTACCACATTTCAAACTTCGAATCGCACGTTCAATCTCTTTCATGCTGATGACCTCAGTGTCATCGAGGTCCGTGTCTGGCGTGCCAGTCACGGCGTCACCCCCGGATCCTTCACTAAGATCATGACACGCATACATTTCTCTATAAAATTCACTCCATCGTTGCATGACGTCCGATTTTTCTGAGGACGTCATTGGTTCTCGAAAGCACTTTGTTCATTCTTAAGGCTGTCGCACCACTCCGGGACCTTCCAACCTCTTTCCAGAACAGTTTGGAGTTTTCCCTAAAGTTGTGCGACAACCTCTCGTCCGCTTCTATTCTACACCTTTCACGTACTTCCTCAATCAATGTTTTCGCATGAACTTTCTGCAGCTTATATCTTTCTTTCATCTTCTCTCTCATATGCTCATCGTTACTAGAGGCCAAGTAGTCTAACCATGCTTTTTTCTTCTTTTTTTACAGCTTCTCTCACTTCATCATTCCACCATGCATCTCTTCTTTTACTACTACCTCTTTTTGTCGTACCACATACTTCTTCCGCTGCACTTACCATTCCATCCCTAAGGTTCTGCCATGTTCTCTCCACACATTCTTTCCTGCCATCGATGGTGTCAAGCTTTTCGGCTACCCTCGTGTGATATTTGTCCCTAGTATCCGCTTCTTGAAGTTTCCAGCTTCGGATGCGACAGACCGACTGTGGTTCTGTTACTGCCGTCCGGTAGCGATAACCCGCGAACAAACCCCTAAATCTAGTAATTACTAGATAATGATCCGTTCCCAGGTCAGCACCCCTGAACACTCGTGTATCCATCACCTGTTTTCGCAGTCGGTCATCCACCAGGAACAAATCAATCATACTTCTCTCATTCTTTCTTTCTCTAGTGTACATATGGATTTTCCTGTGATTAAACATAGTGTTTGTCACAAGAAGACCCTTTTCCTTGCATACAGCCAGTATAAGCTTGCCAGCATCATTAACCCTTTTATCGCCAAACTTTCCAAGCACCGACTCGTATCCTGGTCGAGCGATACCTACCCATCCATTCAAATCACCACATACAACAGTTCTTTCGTTTCCCTTAACCAAATCTAGAACTTCTCTTACATTCTCCCAAAACTCCTCCAGCTCAGCCCTGGACGACGAAGCTACCGGCGCATAAACAGCCAAAAGGAATAACTTCGTCAGTCCCATTTTGAAGCGAACCCAGAGAAGTCTTGAGTTCACAACCTTGTATTCAGTCATAAGATCGACCAACCGGGACGACAACAGCACTCCCACTCCCTGGCAGGCGTTCTCGCTTTCCGGGACTCCGGACCATATAGCTAACGTCCCGCCAGGGAGCTCTTCAATACCACTGCCTTTCCGTTTGGTCTTCGACATACACACGACATCTAATTCTCTTTCTTTCATTATTTCGATCAACTCATTCGTCTTATCTCTCATGCCCCCTCTAACATTCCACGTGCCAACTCTGCACTCCGTGCTCCACCTGCCGCCGTGTCGGGCTGTGCGTGACGGGTGGCGGTCCCCATTGCCACTTTGCGCGCTGCATTCCACACCAACGGGGATGAGCTGGTGTGCGTCGCCTTGGGGGGACGCCCTAACCCTCGTTTGCATGGGTGCGCAGCTGTGTAGAATTGCAGCCCTGAAAAGGGCTGGCAGGGGTCGCGACGAGCACGCTTCTACAATGACCCCTTTGTTTTACAAAGAATTTATATATATATAAGTCTTCTTGGCCGATTGATTTTGACTCAGTGCGCAATGTATTATACCGTTGTGTCCGTCTAGTAATATACATAGAACTTTTTTTTTATAGAATATGGGTGGCAAACTAGCACACAGTCCACTCGATGGTGAGTGGAGCTGTGACCTATAGATATCTACATTTATCTTTAATTAGGAATTAAGATGCATATGCATTGTTATCCTTGAGTATTAAGATGGAATGCCTCATTACCAGTAAAAAGTTTCAGGTTTCTACACTTACAATAGGAAACATAGTAGCATTATGCTGCATTTCATGCTGGTATTCTGTCGAGCTGAGGAGCCATTCATGATACAAGCATAATATAGCTGCAGCATGGCTCTACCACGTTATTTCTAGTAGACGGCGACCTACCTGCTTAAAAATGGTGACGGTGAGCGAAGCGTCGACGGCGAAGGTGCGCAGGTGGTCGCGCACAGCCGCAAGCTCGTGCTTGAGGCGCGCAGGGCCCGCCACGCCGCCACCAGCACCAGCACCAGCTGGCGCGCGCGCCGGCCCCGAGTGCACGTTGATCTCCTCGTACTCCAGGATGGCGGGCAGGATCAGCCGCTCAAGCTGCCGCTCCAACAGCTGGATCAGACCTGCGCACAACAACTCGCTCTGTTACAACCGTATAAATCGTATATTTCATAATAGAAAGCGAAATATAACGAATTACTATGCCTCTTATTGAGTAGAATTTTTTTTAAGTATATTTATGTACCCTCCGATTTTATAACCTTTTAAATTTAACTTGATGGGACTAATATTAAAACTGACAAATGGATAAGCATCCGCCATAGACCAAATACGCCGCCGGGTTAGGAAGGCTTGTGGTTCTTTCTTTCTTTCCTTTCTTTTTCTTTAAAAAAAAAACGTTACCCCTACACTAGGATTCTCTCCTGTATAGTGGGGGCAGTGGACTCATGGTGAGTTTGATGATGGACAAGTGTGAAGTAAGATAATCCATATGGCGGTGGTGCTGAGCACCTGGCGGTACTCGGAGAGGTCGAAGATGCGCAGGAACTGCTGGTTCTGTGTACTAATGGTGAGGTTTGATAATGGACAAGTGTGAAGTAAGTACCCTGATATATCCATATGGCGGTGTCGCTGAGCACCTGGCGGTACTCGGAGAGGTCGAAAATGCGCAGGCACTGCCGGTGCTGTGGACTCATGGTGAGGTTTGATGATGGACAAGTGTGAAGTAAGTACCCTGATATATCCATATGGCGGTGTCGCTGAGCACCTGGCGGTACTCGGAGAGGTCGAAAATGCGCAGGCACTGCTGGTGCTGTGGACTCATGGTGAGGTTTGATGATGGACAAGTGTGAAGTAAGTACCCTGATATATCCATATGGCGGTGTCGCTGAGCACCTGGCGGTACTCGGAGAGGTCGAAAATGCGCAGGCACTGCTGGTGCTGTGGACTCATGGTGAGGTTTGATGATGGACAAGTGTGAAGTGAGTACCCTGATATATCCATATGTCGGTGTCGCTGAGCACCTGGCGGTACTCGGAGAGGTCGAAAATGCGCAGGCACTGCTGGTACTGTGGACTCATGGTGAGGTTTGATGATGGAAAGTGTGAAGTAAGTATCCTGATATATCCATATGGCGGTGTCGCTGAGCACCTGGCGGTACTCGGAGAGGTCGAAGATGCGCAAGCACTGCCGGTGCTGTGGACTCATGGTGAGGTTTGATGATGGACAAGTGTGAAGTAAGTACCCTGATATATCCATATGGCGGTGTCGCTGAGCACCTGGCGGTACTCGGAGAGGTCGAAAATGCGCAGGCACTGCTGGTGCTGTGGACTCATGGTGAGGTTTGATGATGGAAAGTGTGAAGTAAGTATCCTGATATATCCATATGGCGGTGTCGCTGAGCACCTGGCGGTACTCGGAGAGGTCGAAGATGCGCAAGCACTGCCGGTGCTGTGGACTCATGGTGAGGTTTGATGATGGACAAGTGTGAAGTAAGTACCCTGATATATCCATATGGCGGTGTCGCTGAGCACCTGGCGGTACTCCGAGAGGTCAAAAATGCGCAGGCACTGCTGGTGCTGTGGACTCATGGTGAGGTTTGATGATGGACAAGTGTGAAGTAAGTACCCTGATATATCCATATGTCGGTGTCGCTGAGCACCTGGCGGTACTCGGAGAGGTCGAAAATGCGCAGGCACTGCTGGTGCTGTGGACTCATGGTGAGGTTTGATGATGGACAAGTGTGAAGTGAGTACCCTGATATATCCATATGTCGGTGTCGCTGAGCACCTGGCGGTACTCGGAGAGGTCGAAAATGCGCAGGCACTGCTGGTACTGTGGACTCATGGTGAGGTTTGATGATGGAAAGTGTGAAGTAAGTATCCTGATATATCCATATGGCGGTGTCGCTGAGCACCTGGCGGTACTCGGAGAGGTCGAAGATGCGCAAGCACTGCCGGTGCTGTGGACTCATGGTGAGGTTTGATGATGGACAAGTGTGAAGTAAGTACCCTGATATATCCATATGGCGGTGTCGCTGAGCACCTGGCGGTACTCGGAGAGGTCGAAAATGCGCAGGCACTGCTGGTGCTGTGGACTCATGGTGAGGTTTGATGATGGAAAGTGTGAAGTAAGTATCCTGATATATCCATATGGCGGTGTCGCTGAGCACCTGGCGGTACTCGGAGAGGTCGAAGATGCGCAAGCACTGCCGGTGCTGTGGACTCATGGTGAGGTTTGATGATGGACAAGTGTGAAGTAAGTACCCTGATATATCCATATGGCGGTGTCGCTGAGCACCTGGCGGTACTCCGAGAGGTCAAAAATGCGCAGGCACTGCTGGTGCTGTGGACTCATGGTGAGGTTTGATGATGGACAAGTGTGAAGTAAGTACCCTGATATATCCATATGGCGGTGTCGCTGAGCACCTGGCGGTACTCCGAGAGGTCAAAAATGCGCAGGCACTGCTGGTGCTGTGGACTCATGGTGAGGTTTGATGATGGACAAGTGTGAAGTAAGTACCCTGATATATCCATATGACGGTGTCGCTGAGCACCTGGCGGTACTCGGAGAGGTCGAAAATGCGCAGGCACTGCTGGTGCTGTGAACTCATGGTGAGGTTTGATGATGGAAAGTGTGAAGTAAGTATCCTGATATATCCATATGGCGGTGTCGCTGAGCATCTGGCGGTACTCGGAGAGGTCGAAGATGCGCAAGCACTGCCGGTGCTGTGGACTCATGGTGAGGTTTGATGATGGACAAGTGTGAAGTAAGTACCCTGATATATCCATATGGCGGTGTCGCTGAGCACCTGGCGGTACTCGGAGAGGTCTAAGATGCGCAGGCACTGCCGGTGCTGTGGACTCATGGTGAGGTTTGATGATGGACAAGTGTGAAGTAAGTACCCTGATATATCCATATGGCGGTGTCGCTGAGCACCTGGCGGTACTCGGAGAGGTCGAAGATGCGCAGGCACTGCTGGTTCTGGCGCGGCGTGTTGGCCGCCTGGTACACCGCGTCGCCGCTGTACTGCCGCAGGTTGTTCAACAGCCTGCACCAACCAAACCAAATCTAGACTATACTGTTTATTATAGTAGTTTATAACTTATTTTATATTCCCGACGTTTCGTGTACTTTACAGTACCCACGGTCACGAAGGGACTAAGATGTTCAATGTACCAATGATATAGATATCCACGGCTAAAATAAAATTATTTATTTTTGAACCGATGTACTCAAAGGCTAGGTATCTTGATATATTGCAGTTGTATGCTTTTGTTTAGGATTTAATTTTATTAATTATGTGCTACAAATACATAAAATAAAACATTCATTGTTTTCGTTCATACTGTCAATGTGAAACATTTGATAGTTTGTTGTCAAACAGTCGCACAGAGTAGAGATTGTCGCCAAAGAATTTTAGAATATTACCAACAAAAATACCGATTGATTGAATGTTGCCAACAAAAAATTACTGATCAAGTGAATTTTGTGTAATTTTCAATCTTTCTTTTTCATAATAGTCAGTGGAATATATGTCAAGGCAAAATCGCACTTATTTTATATTTTTATAATAGATATCTGTGCTTTATGTATTTATGTGCAGTAAAAAGTGAAATACGGCTTCCTTGATATAAAATTTAAAAATATAATGAATTACGATTGAATTTAAGAATATCGAAGGAAGACAGTTATAGTTTATCCAGATTCAAAGCCAAAATACTACACAAATTTTGGTGTAGTAACACATTACCGCTACAAAAATTCACCGCGAGGCGTAGCCCCCAAAAGAAGTCAGGGTCCAAATAGTCACAGTTGGTATCCAAATCATGCAAGACATAGCCCCTTCTAAGGAGTTCCGATTGGTTATCTCGATACATTGATACCTGCAGGATGCAACCAGAGACAGTGGCCTAGCAGACGACGCGCGATAGAAAACGTAAAGTTACAGCCTAAATACGTCCCACTGCTGGGCATAGGCCTCCCCTAATTTCTGAGGGTTTTAGGGCAAGGAATTGTCCACCGCGCTGCCCCAATGCGTGTTGGCGAACTTCACATGTCTTCGAAATATTTTTTTTCTTATTCCTCAGACATGCAGGTTTCCTCACAATGTTTGCCTTCACCGCCGAGCACGTGGTAAAATCAGCACTTAAAATTGCAATTAACAATTTCATTGGTGCCGGAGGGGATCGAACCCGGATTACTCGCGTTCTGTTATATGTATTTACAGCGAGCGTTAATCATCTGAGCTACCACGGCTCCTATAGAACGGATAGAAAAGGTAACTCATATATATTAATTGAAACGGGACTTATACATACTATTCTACGAGATAACCCCACCCACCTAAGCATGTTAGATAGCCAGAGCGCATTATACTCGACGCTGTCGGCGCGTTTCTTCACTGTCTTCTTAACGCTGATACGGACAGCTCTTATAAGCTGATGCATCTTAGGTTCGTCGTCCACGTGGTCCATATGCCGCAGCATCATGAATAAGATGTAGGCGGGCAAACCGGGCAACAGCGTTACTGCTACCCGCGGTTTCAGATCTTGAACAAAGGAGAAACTATTAGCAAATTTTATAAATCACCATGGTAGATGCCTGGACGAATGCGTCCGTAAGAGCAAAGAATGACAACGTAATTTATAAGTGGTAGAGCCACGTTGCATCTTAATTATGTTTGTAGCATGAATGGGTCGGCTCACCCGTGGAAGGACCACGCTCTCACAGAGTATCAGCGTAAAGTAGCAGCCTAATGCTGCTTTTTCGTATGGTGAGTGTAGAGAACCGGATACTTTTTACAATAGTAAGCAGGAATACTATTTTGGTTTTCAGAGATGATAACGCATCTACATTTTAACCGATGATAAATATAGGTGTCTATGGGCCAGAACATTCACTTACCATCAGGTAAGTGAAGGTGGACAGAGTGCTCTTTTGTCACCCTCATTGTATAAAATTATTAATGTAAGGTTTATGCTATATGCTTGAGTGGCAAGGACCGGCTGTTCCTTTTCAAGGATTTGAAAAGGAACATCCGGTGATCCGGTGAACTTTACGAGGCATTTCATTTTAGTTCCTATGGGTCTGTATTTTGATTCTTATTGCACTTGCTATCACGTTTAAAAATGAGATATAAAAACAATTCTTTTTATAGGTCTATATAACGCAGACAGTTCCCTGTGACAATTGTCAACAATTTATGCTTTAGTGTCCCATTCAATGTCCCCCCCCCTCCTCAAAACACTATTTAAAGCAGTCGGAATTGTTTTGATAAGCGTTTTCAAGGAGATGTCTCAACGCTACTTTGATAGAGTAGAAACCCACCCTAACCCGCTAGTGACAAACGCAGCTAACTACGTTCCGATAACAAACGTCGCGCCCTATCTCCGTAGACCGCGAAATGTATTAACAGAACCACCTCAACCGCTCGATCCAGTCGACCCAAGCGTCGCAGGCACATCACACAACGACACTACACCCACACTAAATGGGACAAACACTATTAGGACAACGAATGGGACGCATCGCACCCGCAGACGGGCACGACGCGTTCCAGCTCACACCGCGTACACACCGTACACCCGCGTTCCTGGACGGTTCTCACCGCCCAGACCACCGACCGACACGAGCTGAGCAGTCAGAGACGGGGGTCCGCACACCCCCCCCTCGGATTGCGGTTAGATAGCTCAAAGAAAAACGCCTAAAAGGGGACATGATGATTGGTAACAATATCAAATCATAAACCATCTCATCATCATTTTCACCTCATTGCCTTTCCCATTTTAATTAGCTGATAAAAGCCATGAGACAAGGTGAAGCTGTAAGAGTCGCATAGACTAACAGCACTAAAATCTAGATAATAGAGATTTGATAAGCGTTTGTCACAGTATTTCATCTTTTATTCGCTATCGGTACCGCTAGTGGTTGGGCTTGTTGGACCTTTATGCTTACTGGCAGCTACTTTTATAGAATATATTTATAATAAATAAACACTCACGCCTGTCACCCAGAGGGGTAGGCAGAGACTACGGACTTCCATTTGGCACGATCCTGACATACCTCTTTCGCCTCCTTTACATCCATATATCTACGCATACATGATCGTCGGTTAAGGGTACTTCTAACGTGGCCCATTTTTAAAATATCGCCAATTTGGTCGATAAACTTTTTCCTAGGGCGTCCCTTCCCGACTCGGCCATTCACATCTGCCATATAAATTTGCTTTGTAACTCTTTCCTCATTCATTCTTTCTACGTGACCAAACCACCGAAGCATTCCTTTCTTAATCCTGGTCACAACATCATCTTGCATACCACATTTATCTCTTATCACGCAATTTCTCACCCTGTCATTCAGATTACACCCTAGCATATTCCTTAAAGACCGCATTTCTACAGCATTTATTCTACTTTCGTGCTTCTTCTGCCACACCCAGCTTTCACTACCATACATTAAAGTAGGGACTAACACAGCATTATGAATTACCATACGTGCCTGTTTTGACAAATTCTGGTTCTTCATAATAGAGTGTAGTGCCCCATTCACTCTATTCCCTGCATTTACTCGTCGTTCTATATCCCTATCATATCTACCATCCCTGCTAAATACACATCCCAAATACACAAACTCATCCACTTGCTCAATCAACTCTCCTTCTATTCTTATTTCACATACCGTTTTGCTTTCTTCTCTTTCAAAAACCATCACTTTCGTCTTACTTGCGTTCACTTTCATTCCCCTTTCTTTTAATTCCCAGTTCATTAATGTAACCATCATTTGCAACTCTGCCGCCGATGACGCAAGTATGACTTGATCATCGGCATACAAAAGGCATTTGATGGTTAACTCGCCCATTCTTAACCCACATTCTTCATCTTTCAAAGTTTGCAAACACCGGTCCATAAATAGGTTGAACAGCCAAGGGGAAGCCACACAGCCCTGTCTGACACCTTTTTGGATGCCAAACCAGTGCGAGTAGACCCCATTGATCCTGACACAAGCACTAGAGTCCCTATAAAGAGACCTTAATGCCTGTATCAAACCAGCGCTCAACCCATATGAGTTCAGTGTTTGCCATAACACATTCCTGTCCACTCTGTCATAAGCCTTTTCCAAGTCCATGAACGCACAAAAAACTTTCTGGTTTTTGGCCAAAAACTTCTCCGCAATCATGCGCATGGAAAAGACTTGATCTGTACACCCCATTCCCTTTCTAAAACCCGCTTGCACATCCCAAATTTTTTCCATCAGTTTCTTTCATAACTCTTTCAATTAACACCTTAGCATACAGTTTACCCACAATACTAAGCAAGCTGATACCGCGGTAGTTTTTGCAGTCCTGCTGTGACCCTTTTCCTTTATATATTGGTACTATAACTGCTTTACACCAGTCATCCGGTACCCGTTTTAATTCCCAACATAAATTAAACAAGGTGTACAGCAGGCCTGCCACCACTCCCTCTCCAGCCCTTAGCATCTCGAGTGATACTCTATCATATCCAGCTGCCTTACCTGCTTTCATGCTTTTCATTGCTTTCATTATTTCATCTACACTTATCTCCATACCCCTTTCCACTTCTTTCGGAATTTCTAGTTCATTTAATTCATACGACTCTTCACTCATAAACACGCTTTCAAAGTATTCCTTCCATCTGTTTAAATTCGAAACTTCATCATTCAGAATACATCCATTCTCGTCTCTTATAGCATTTATTATAGGCTGTTTTGTATTTCCCCTGGCAGTTCTTACGAGTTTCCAGAACATTTTTATGTTAGCCTGGAAATTATCAGATATCCTTCTATCATTCTTATCCGTTCTTTCTTTCTTTTTCCTTTCAACAACTTCTTTTACTCTCTTATTTAGACGTCTAAATTCTGCCTTTTTTCTTTCAATCTCATCATTCATACCAGAAGAATTATCAGCTTTGGTTGCTAGTAAATCTAACCATGCTTTCTTCTTTGATTCAACTTCCACCCGTACCTCATCATCCCACCATAACGTATTACTTTTCCTTTCATTTGTTCTCTTACTTACACCGCATACTTCGGTGGCGGTATCCAGAATATATTTAATATTTTTAAAATTTAAAGTTTCTTTTAGACACGAGTGTAGGGCGTTTATGAGTAACAAAGTACAACCAGCTGCACCAATACTTACCAGTAATAAGCTTTTTAAGTATGATCGGCTCGTCCTGTATTTTGTACTCGAACATGCCCAGGTATTCCCTCTCCTTTTTACGTGTAACGGGCGCCATTTGTATAGTTGAAAGAGAGTGCTGCGCCGTCATTGTGTCTGTGGAAAAGAGATGATCAAGTCAACATCTTAATTTCAGAAATCATTTTATACTACTGTAATTTTAATTTCCTTTACAATAAATTGTTCAACTGTTTAAAAATATAAGGAACTTTTAAATTTAAAAAAAATTATATAATATAGTAAACTAGTTTAAAATCCATGCAACGTCTATGCTCTTTATGTTAAAATTTGAACATTACAAACGCATTGTTTTATGTACATAATGACACAAACTGAATTATCCAATAGTACACTAATGTATTTATAGTTGTTATTATAGTTGTATTGTTTAGTTATACACCGTGTAGCGGCGGTGTAAGAATATCCCTTACCCCATAATACCATCCCATGGGTGTCGTAAGAGGCGACAGAGGGGAAACTGTGACAGGTGAACGGCAGCAGCATCTTCCTGACTAAAACTCAAAACATTGAAAAACTGCGGTTGCCAGCCCGCCTGCCAAGCGTGGCAACTATGGCAAAATTACCCCTATGAGATATTTTAGGGGGGGAAGCGGGGGCCTATGTTCAGCAGTGGACTGTTGTAGGCTGTGGATGGACAATATAACGTATCCTGTAAGCCAAGCCATGCGCACTTTTGATCGTACAATACCTACCTTACGTCCGCCAAGCAGTGATCTAATTTGATCAGAATTATGTAAACGTGTGTACCTATGAAAAAACTATTTTTTCGTTTTAAACAAAACCAAAGACACTATGCAATAGATAATAGTATCAAAGACAAAGATATGCTCTTTTATTATAAACCATAACCTGGCAATGTTTCTTAGAAAAAAAAAAAGAAATCACTGAACTTTCGGCGTTCCACGTGTCGTTTTGATGAAGGTGCTCCGTCTTTTTTATAGAATTTTATATGTGTGTCTGGACTAAAAACGAAAGTATTATACTTTTTTATATTCCTTGTGATATAGTGAACACACACACACACACATATATATATATATATATATATATATATATATATATATATATATATATAAATATATATATAATTTGTGGTATAAAAAGTGAAAAAGTAAATTGCCAAAAGTGCTTCAAAATCTGGAAGGCCCATTATGGCGGCTGGGTCATAAATGTGTTATTTTTCAAATTCTCATTTATTTTTAGTTGTAAAATGTAAGTTATACATATTTCAAATAACTGACGTTGTATTTATTTCATCACACAAAACAGAATATCACTACACCCATAATATTCCATCCCATGGTGTCGTAAGAAGCGACGAAGGGAAACACAGTAAACACAGCAACATTTTCCTAACATAAAACTCAAAACGTTAAAAAACTGCAGTTGTCACCCACTACTTGCTAAGCGTATGGCAACTATGCAACCAAATTGCCCCTATGAGAAAATATTTTAGAAGCGGAGGCCTAATGTTCAGCAGTGGCAATGTTGAATATAGCGCTGTGGAGGACGAGTATAACATGTGATTGGAACAGTAGAACTGTAACATATATTTTACAAAAATCTAATTTAGTAATCTAGAACAAGACAATTTTTTACGTGGTAGAGCCATTCTGCAGTTATATTTGTAGTATAGTTGTAGCACGAATGGGTCGGCTCGACCGGGAAGGGACCACGCTCTCACAGAATACCAGCGTCAAATAGTAGCTTAATGCTGCTGTGTTTCGTATGGTGAGTGTAGAGAACCGGAGACCCTTTTTACTGGAAACGACGCATTCCACCTAAGTCCTCGCGGATGACAACGCATCTGCATTTTGATTCGTAATCGAGGATAGATGTAGATGTCTATGGACCACAGCAACCACTTACCATCAGGTGGACTGTGTGCTCGTTTGTCATCCTATCCTATAAAAAAAACAATACATATTTGAATCGCTTTTTTTAAAAGATAATTTCATAAACACATTAATATAATCTTAAAAGGCAAACGATCGTTGTTTGTTGTCGATGAAAAAAGATGGATAAGTAAAATAGATAACTACTGCTTCTTTAATACGAATTTTGGGAGGAAAATTGAAAAGAAACATACCATTGCCCTCTAGAATGTCGTTGACATCATCGATGCCGACCTCCTTCAGCCTATCGACGAGCAGCCTGATCTGATTCTTGTATCGACGACAGCTCTCCGAAAGTTTGTCAACGCGTTCCTGTATAATGTATAATAAAGTTAATAACAACATATACACGTCCCTTCAAAAAAAGGCTTCTTTGCAGTTCTAAAGCTAAAACCAATTTATCGATCGATAAAAGCGATGTTTGTGGTAGCTAAACAGTCCGATTAATGAGGGTAGACATGGTTTTTAATTTTTAATAATTATATAAGTAATTCAAAAATATAAATATGAAAATATCTAAGATAGTATAGAATTATCTCAGCCTGCTTGACTGTAACATTCACTCAATTTTTATTTAAGTAATAGTAATAGTAGGTTGTATTGTTTTGTACCTGTATAGCAAGGTTCTCTGCGGCCAATCGAATAATCTCATTTTGCGCGAACTCTTGACTCTTATTTTTGGGTTCCTGACTTAAATCTGTACTCAGTAATCTAAAATAAACAAAAGCAATAACATATCATTTTCCATCCATCTCAATTAAGCAAACTTTCAATGCCAAAGCAGAAATATCAGCATATACAGATAATTGTAAATGACGCCAATTTTTAATCATAAAACAGATTTACAATTTCATTTTATAAATAAACATTTCTGTCTACATTTTTTAAATATTGATTTTATTACATACGAAAAATGTCAAAATAAAAGGTAATAGTTTACTCAAAAATAAAACTTCAGTTACAGTCGTTTCGATTACATTATGTGGCTCTGGCAAAAGCCTTAGACTGTTTTGTGGCTCCTATTAGAGCTTTAGTTACGCTGTTTTTGTGGCTCTGACAAGAGCCGTAGTTACACTGCTTTGTGGCTCTGACAAGAGCCGTAGTTACACTGTTTTGTGGCTCTTATTAGAGCTTTAGTTATGCTGGTTTTGTGGCTCTTACAAAAGCCGTAGTTACACTGATTTGTGGCGCTGGCAAGAGCCGTAGTTCGCTGTTTTGTGGCTCTTATTAGAGCTTTAGATAAGCTATTTTTGTGGCTCTGACAAGAGCTGTAATTACACTGATTTGTGGCTCTTACAAAAGCCGTAGTTACACTGATTTGTGGCTCTGAAAAGAGCCGTAGTTACACTGATTTGTGGCTCTGACAAGAGCTGTAGCTTGTCTCTAAAAGCCTTAGTTACACAGATTTGTGGCTCTGAAAAGAGCCGTAGTTACACTGCTTTGTCGCTCTGAAAAGAGCCGTAGTTACACTGCTTTGTGGCTCTGACAAGAGCCGTACTTTCACTGTATTGAGGCTTTATCAAGAGCCGTAGTTACAATGATTTGTGGCTCTGAAAAGAGCCGTAGTTACACTGTTTTGTGGCTATGACAAACCACTGATTTGTGGCTCTGAAAAGAGCCGTAGTTACACTGCTTTGTGGCTCTGACAAGAGCCGTAGCTCCACTATTTTGTGGCTCTAACAAGAGCCGTAGTTACACTGATTTGTCGCTCTGAAAAAAGCCGTAGTTACAATGCTTTGTGGCTCCAACAAGAGCCATAGTTACAGTGATTTGCGGCTCTGACAAGAGCCGTAGCTACACTATATTGTGGCTCTGACAAGAGCCGTAGCTACATTGATTTGTGGCTCTGAAAAGAGCCGTAGTTACACTGCTTTGTGGCTTTGAAAAGAGCCGTAGTTACACTGCTTTGTGGCTCTGACAAGAGCCGTAGTGACACTGTTTTGTGGCTCTTATTAGAGCTTTAGTTACGCTGTTTATGTGGCTCTTTCAAGAGCCGTAGTTACACTGCTTTGTGGCCTGGCAAGAGCCGTTAATAAAATCTCTTTCAAGAGCTATTACACTGCTTTTGGCGCTGGCAAGAGCCGTTGTGCTCTTAAGATATTACTATGTGCTCCGAAAAGAGCCGCAGTTACACTGATTTATGGCTCTGAAAAGAACCGCAGTTACACTGTTTTGTGGCTCTGACAAGAGCCGTAGTTACACTATATTGTGGCTCTGACAAGAGCCGTAGTTACATTGATTTGTGGCTCTGAAAAGAGCCGTAGTTACACTGCTTTGTGGCTTTGAAAAGAGCCGTAGTTACACTGCTTTGTGGCTCTGACAAGAGCCGTAGTGACACTGTTTTGTGGCTCTTATTAGAGCTTTAGTTACGCTGTTTTTGTGGCTCTTTCAAGAGCCGTAGTTACACTGCTTTGTGGCGCTGGCAAGAGCCGTAGTTACACTGTTTTGTGCCTCTTATTAGAGCTTTAGTTACGCTATTTTTGTGGCTCCGAAAAGAGCCGTAGTTACACTGATTTATAGCTCTGAAAAGAACCGCAGTTACAATGTTTTGTGGCTCTGACAAGAGCCGTAGTTACACTGCTTTGTGGCTCTGACAAGAGCCTTAGTTACACTGATTTGTGGCCCTGACAAGAGCCGTAGTTACACTGCTTTGTGGCTCTGACAAGAGCCGTACTTTCACTGTATTGAGGCTTTATCAAGAGCCGTAGTTACACTGATTTGTGGTTCTGACAAGAGCCTTAGTTACAATGATTTGTGGCTCTGAAAAGAGCCGTAGTTACACTGTTTTGTGGCTATGACAAGAGCCGTAGTTACACTGATTTGTGGCTCTGAAAAGAGCCGTAGTTACACTTTTTGTGGCTCTGACAAGAGCCGTAGTTACACTGATTTGTGGCTCCGACAAGAGCCGTAGTTACACTGATTTGTGGCTCTGATAAGAACCAAGTTACACTCTTTTGTGGCTTTGACAAGAGTCTTAGTTACACTGTTTTTTTAGCTCTGAGAAGAGCCTTAGTTACACAGTATAAGAGCCGAAGTTACATTGTTTTGTGGCTTTGACAAGAGCCGTAGTTACACTGGTTTGTGGCTCTAACAAGAGTCTTAGTTACACTGTTTTGTAGCTCTGAGAAGAGCCGTAGTTACACTGTTTTGTAGCCCCGACAAGAGCCATAGTACTATTTTGAGACTCAGAGTAGTACCTTAATTACACCGTTTTATGGCTCTGACACGAGTTTTAGTAACATTGTTTTGTAGTTCTGACAAGAGCCGTGTTTACTCTGTTTACTATCTCTTTCAATTTTAGTAACCATTGATTCAAGTTTAAGTAATCAGATTACAGTTCAATTAAACTGGAGATAATCTTGTTATTTTATATTTAAATCTGTTAAATGTGCCATCCGTTAATATGTATAATAAATCAGTTAAATATCTGCGTTAGTCATTACAAAATCTAACCTATATAATAAAGAGATCCACTTGCAATAATAAATATTGTATTGTACACCGCTTACAATATTAAATTCCTTCTCATAAAGTTAAATTATTTTTACTCAGAATACTTTTTCAAAACACGTTAATTGATTATTTTAGGTAAGTCTATAAGCAGTTAAGACAGAGTCTATAAAAATATGACAGTATTATTTATTAATCAAACAGTCAGTAAGGTCAACGTTAATGAGTAATAAACAAATACAAACTACTTAACAATAACAACAAGTAACTAATTCGACAACATATTAATAATGGAGTATGTGAGGTGTATGATTAGTTTTTCACTAGTTAACAGTGTCTTTATGAAATAAATGGTTGAATTTTCCAGACTATCCCACGGTCTTCGGATTTGTGGGAACATTGTGTGATTCTTACCTCCGTTGATGCTAGAAGAGATGAAATGTAAAGTGTGTTCTTAATGTGCAAGAACAAGCCATATGAGTGTTTTTTGAATTTCAATCCAAATAATACAAAATATTGAAAAGAATGTTGTTATTATCACTGCAATACTAATTCGTTACTTGCTTGAAAATGAAACTAATGATTCATGTGTTAGTACCGGTACGAGGCTGCCACTCGAGACCCTTTCTTCCCCATCGATTGTGGCTTCTTGCAGCTATTTGGCCAGCCCATTACCACTCCAGCTTGCTGATCCACTGGACTATGTCGATTAGTTAGGTTATCTTTATAGTTCGTTAAAAAGAAAATTAATTGGATTTGATATCTATACATCTATGTATGGTACTCTCCCAAGACTAATTCCCCACTTATTCTCGAAGTTATGCAATTTTTAAATGTACTCACTTCTGATACTTCTCATTTTCTTCTCGCAATCTCTCGATCTCCACTTTTGCCTGTGAAATGTGCTCGGAGTAGAATTTCTTTTCAGCCAGCAGTTCTTCTTGTAATTGTCTATTAAAAGTATTATGTCCATATTAGTAAGAGGAATATCTCGCCTCAAATGTCACAGTACGGTGGTACTAGGTACTAACTCCACCACAATTGGTATTTGTAACATGCACGACGGTGTATGTACTCATATTCAGACCTGCATGTTTGTATAAAATAAAAATATTTTGTCATGTAAAGCCTACTTCATCACCACCATTAATAATGTAATTTTGATGCTGCATATGCAGTGGCGTGACGATTTTGCTGCCGCTTCCCAAAACTTGCCGCCTGTGGCCTCATGGCACACCTCCCCCCATGCTAAGATGTTAATAAACCAACAATTAATCCGCACTGTGATTGTAAACTTGTGACACGAATGTTATGGATTCATAATATAATTTTTCCAGATATCGTAAAATAAAGTAGGTATGTGAATATTTAATAATAAAAATAACTCAAATGTACTGCTAAAAGCTATTTTTATATAAACCTAATTTGAGCCTATATAATATAGGTACCTGTTGATATCCTTTTGAGCCTCGTAAGCAGTCGCCAGCTCCCCATCTTCGTTGATAATGTCCACGTCCGAACCGTAATTTGACGACGCAAGCGACTTTAAGTTTACCGTCTGTGGAAATACAGATCGAAATAAAGTATGGTTCAAATAAAATAAATTGGCATAATAAATATCAATCATAAAACAAAAAAAAAATTAAATATACCGTGCAATGGCAGCAAAAAGAATGCGTTGAAAGGAAACAAAAAAATGTTAGTAAAATGATTTCTACCTACACCAAAAGACGCACACACGACCGTTTTTAAAGATAAAAAATAAAGTCGGTATTCTTTCTACATCCTGTCACAACATTTACTATATTACACGAACGTTCCCAAGTTTTTCATATTGCATTGAAAGTAATCCACAGGCCCATCTAGTCCCTTAAATATCGTAGAGTTTTTGAGAGTTTTTTTTTTAGAGTTTCTGCACCAGCCCTCATTATGATGACACCAAGATGGGGTGTGGGTATACCACTTGTTAAGCGTAGCTGATATGACAATTTTTACCGTCCTCTAGTCTACGTCGTTCTACGTCTCTATATAACAAAGTGTACAGCGAATTACAGCATGCCATGCCAACAAAATTTCAAAGGAAAAATTCAAGTTACGTGTATTATATATACACGTATATATATATACACGTATATATATACACGTATATATATACACGTATATATATCTACAAATATGAATTGACTTTGTCCAGTCTGTTACGACTAACGAAAAATTAAGTCACTCAATATTAATTATTTTTGATAGTGCATCCCAATTTATTTAATCACAAATGTCAGTTGAGGAGTTTTCCCACAAATCTCACAATTTCTCACAAACTTTACAAAATGAAAAGACATTTTCCCTTACGTTTCCAATTAATGGTGCAATATTCGTAATAGTTTTACTAACGCTCTACTCGTTTTGTGATAGACCAACCTCTTAACATTCCCCTACTCCAACTACTAGGTAGTATTCGTGAGTAAAATAAAACACAAGTAAGCCATTGAATGATTATATAGAAATACAACATTCTACTCACGACGCTCTTCAACGCTTGGAACCATGATTTCTGCGCAATATATTTTATTATTATAATTAAAATACAATTATAATAAATAAAAATATTTATTATTTATTATAATTGTAATTGATAGAATCAAACGTTACTTTGCGGAAATTAATTATAATTAAGATATTAACAGTTACCTTGCAACCATCAGCTCAATTAAATACAACGATGTGTCTTACATAGGTTCATTCCGCCTGTGGCATCCTCTCAGCGGTCGCATCCAGGTAGTCCGCGCTCTAGTCCTTGTACGGTAGTGCTATCACGCTCTCGCGCCTCCGCTGTCCTGCTCGCGCTGTACTCTTCCGGAAGAGCGTAAAGTCAAGGCCGTCATCCGAGGCGTCCCCTTCGAATTCTCCAACGAGGAAATCCTTGAGGACCTTAAGTCCCAAGGTTTCCCCGTAGAAGTCGTGCACAAAATGCACAGTAGAACGGGCAAGAGGTTCAATCTAGCCCTTGTCATCTTAACCAACGTGCCGAAGGCAAAAGCCATCTTCCGGCAGGTACGCAGTGTGTGGCCTGTCGAGAGTGAGGGTTGAGCCCCCACATAGGCGCGGATTCCCGGCGCAGTGCCACCGCTGCCAGTTATATGGTCATGCGGCGGCCAACTGCTCCGCCCCACCCAGGTGCGTTAAGTGCCTTGAACCCCACAACACCAAAGAGTGTCCTCAGCCCAAAGACGCCGAATCCCCACCTGCATGTGACCTGTGTAAACAAACAGGCCACCCGGCTAACTACAGAGGCTGCCCCTGCGCACCTCAACCTCGCAGCAGTAGGCAAGCTCCACCGCCGGTCAATGACCGCTCATTCCTGGCTCTCTATCAACGGCCCCGTCAGGGCCTTTCTCAGCCCATCCAGGGCTTCTCTCGGCCCCCTCAGGGTCCCCCTAGGCCCCCTCAGGGCATTATTCGGCCCCCTCCGGGCTTCTCAAAGCCTATGCAGCCTCCAGTCTTTCCCTGGGGCCCCAATAAGGCAGACCCACCGCGGACAACCTCCGCCCCACAACAATCACAGCCCTCAATTGAAGACCTAAAAACGTTGTATTCCGCTATTAGGAACATCGACGTTGGGGAAATCGCTGTGTTAGCACGCAAATTGTGCGCTGCGAGGTCCCCTCAGGACCGTCTCCTCGCTCTTACAGAGCATCATAATCTTTTGTGCTCGTTGTAAGTTAAGTTAACTTAATTAACTTAACTTCAAGGACAGAGCAGTTTGCTCTACCAAAGTCTCACGGTCGTATCAAACCTAAGGGTTTATCGCTTGTACAGCGTACCAACATGGAAGCCACGGTATGCAGGCTAGCTATGACTGGACATCAGTCCATCCTCATAGCCTCCTGTTACATCCCTTCAGGAACCCATCCCCTCAAAAAAGATTTAGAGGCTATCTTATCTTTAGGCAATTCAGTCATTATGTTTGGAGATTTTAACTACAAGCATACTGAATGGACATGCCGTACTACTTCCCCTAGTGGCAAGATACTGCTCGATATCACGCAGTCTCTTGATATTACCGTCCATAGTCCCCTTGGTGTTACTCAATTTCCCGATAACACCGATCACGCCCCCGATGTACTAGATTTTGCGTTACTCCAAGGTGTTTCTCTCAACCTCAGAGCAATCGAGACACTAGACGATCTAGGATCCGATCACCGACCGGTCTCCCTCATTCTTGGCCATCAGCCGCCTCCCCCAACACACACGAAAACCTTCACCAATTGGAAGGGATTCAAGGAGTCCCTAGCTAAAGCTCGAGACTCACAGGACTCTACCATCTCCCTACCGTCGGACTTAGACAGTCCCGAAAAAATCGACACCGCGGTCGATTCACTCTCCACCCTTATTAAATCCTCCCTTAAGGAGAACGAAAAGGTCGTCCCGGTTGCTAACAATAGTGGGCTTCCCCTAAATATTAGCAACCTATTAAAACCCAAAAAAGCTGCCTTCCGGAGAGCAGCTAAATATCCCACCCCGGAATATAGGCGCACGGCCCCAAACTCCGTTTCCGCCTCTCTGAATTTCGAGACCTGGAAAAGAGTAACCTCGTGGAGAATATCTCTCCATCTCATACAGCGTACTATCAGATGGCTAGAGCCCTCCGCATAGACATTAGCACCCACACTCGCCCTCTCTCCCGTCCCGACGGTACGGTTGCCTTCGAGGACGAGGAAAAGGCTGAGTGCTTTGCAGATAGCATTGCCGCACAATGCTCTCCTAGCTCTCAACCCGTCGACCCCTCACACGTCCAGGCAGTGGAGGATGAGGTCCGCCGCCGGAACTCACCCCCTACAGCCTCCGAACCTATCTCTGTGTCCAATGAAGAGATTTCATCCCTCATCAAAGGACTTAAGCCCAAAAAGGCTCCGGGCGCGGATGGCATCTCCAACCAAGCCCTAAAACACTTTCCTGAAAAGGTGTTAACCTTTTTATCTATTATCTTCAACGCCTGCTTTAACCTTAGTTACTTTCCCACTCCGTGGAAAGAGGCAACTGTGATTGGTATTCCCAAGCCAGGCAAGCCTCTCAACCTCCCCTTCAGTCATCGCCCCATTAGTCTCCTCAAGGCAATGGGCAAGCTCTTCGAAAGAGTCATCCAAACTCGTATGAGGCGCTATCTGTTTCCTACAGACGGTGATCCTCTTTATCATTCCCCATCAATTCAGTTTCCAAGCGCAACACTCATGTCCCCAACAAGTTCATCGTATTGTGGAATATATCCTTAGCGGTTTTTATCCTCGTCGTCATAAGACAATCGCGGTCTTTTTCGACATAGCTAAAGCTTTTGATAGAGTCTGGCAAACAGGCCTTATCTACAAGCTACACAAAATAGGTCTCCCCGATCGTCTAGTACGTCTCGTGGCCTCTTACTTAAAGCATCGTACCTTTCGTTTTAGACACGAAGGCACGCTATCTTCACAGCGCCCTATCAAAGCTGGTGTCCCTCAGGGCTCAGTACTTGCTCCTCTGCTGTACATCCTGTTCACCAACGACATTCCCATCCCGTCAAAAGGTGTTCAACTCTCCCTCTTCGCAGACGACACTGCTATCTACAGCAAAGGTATCTCGCTACCTTTCATACGGAACAAGGTTCAAAAGTCAGTTGACGACCTAAGAGCTTGGTTCAAAAAATGGCGCATCGATGTGAACCCGGAGAAGAGCTCCGCCGTTCACTTCGATTATAAACGACGCCGTCTCAAAAATACTCCACCAATATGTATGCTAGGGTCCCCTGTCCCCTGGCATACGACTGCCAAATATTTAGGTGTCACTCTAGACACAAGGCTCACCTTCAGGCCTCACGTCAAAAGAGTAACCCGTCACGCACGTTTTTACCTGAGTAGGCTCCAAAGTATGTTGGGCCGACACAGTAGAATGTCCCTCAGAAACAAGGGTACCCTTTATAAGGTCTGTATACGACCAGTCATGTCCTATGCGGGCCCCAATTTTTGCCCACGCCGACCCTAAAATTATTAATGAACTCCAAATAGTTCAAAACCTTTTCTGTCGTCGAGCTGCGAACGCACCTTGGTACGTCCGTAATGCCGACTTTCATCGCTAGAGCCCCCCTACAATTCAACAATTTCTCAAAAATCTCTCTGAGAACTTCTTCAAAGCCTCAGAGTCGCACTCCAACCATTTTATTCGTGAGGCAGCTACTTATGCAGCCCCACCCCCCTCTCGCTATCGAGTCCGCAGGCCGAGAAACTCTCTCTCGGACCCGCCTAATAAACTGACAAACGACCTGAACTGCCTCCTGGCGGCTCAGGCCAACTCTAATTAAATTAAATTATTCATTCATAATTAATTTGCCTTCGTAGGCACTCCCTCAGCGGCTCGTAGCTGCCTGCGCCCTGTTTTCCCAAAAGAGGGTCGCTCCCGATACGGCACAATAAAGCTTAAGCAGCCAGTTGCCAGTCCCTAAAGGCGGTTTTTAGAGGGTATCACTTAGGTTCCCACTCATAACCACGATAGACCGGCTATCGTGGTATGCGTAATGCATTTTCCGCCTCCCTACGTATAGGGTAGCCCTTTATTGCTTCGGGCGCAAAAAAAAAATTACATAGGTTGAAGTCTCTTGAATCTAGGTAAGACACATCATTGTATTTAATTGAGCGGATGGTTTGCAAGGTAACTGTTAATATCTTAATTATTATAATTGTTTTATATTTTTTAAGAGCAATTGCTCCATGAAACTACACATAAATTTTGTTATTTGTTAATAATTAAAGTATTCTTAACATATTACAAATCAACTGTGATAATTCAGTGCAATCATCCGCAAGATGATCCGAGATGTGAGGCGCTATATAGTCCTATTTAATTGAGGATTTATTCGTTAAATAAAGTTTATTCCATAGTTGCTAAAATAGTAAATTAACGTAATATAAGTACCTAAAATTGCATGGCCTCCGACAAAAGATGTATCAACAATTTTTAAAATAGTAAGTGCTGAATTAAACATATCGAGGATGGCGTTTACAGCATTTTCTGTTAATTCCTAAAAGATCTATGTCCAGCTATGGACTTTGCGGTAAGAAAATAACAATGAATATTACCTTATTTTTATGTTGCGAACTGAAAACACTTCCATGGATAGGTAAATCCATGAATAAAATTTTTACAATGTGAACGTCCTTAGAAGTCGAATCTTTCATGTCAACACAGGTCAATTATTATATATTTTTATTTTTCTATTAATACACGATCACTATATATATAAAAACTATTATTATTAAATCCCTTATGACTTATCTATTAATTATAACAAATGAAATAAATCAGACGAAAGATGTTACTGTATTATTATTTTCACAAATAGTAATATTATACAATAAAGCGCAAATGATTATGCGACCAAGCTGAAAAAATCTAACTGACACAGTATTTACCTTTATCACGAAATATTTACGAATACAAATTTAATCTAACAGATAAGACGCTGTTTTTCATAGATAAGTCTTAGGATAAACAACATGATTTATTTTGAAGGTGTGGTAGATTTCA